ACATAGAAAAAACAATACACTTTGTTGCGACATATGTTGAGGATATGAAGAGTACTTCGAATTTAATATATATACTAGCTTTCCGCCTGCAGCTTCGCCCGCGTAGAATTCGGTTATATCGCGTTTCCAACAGAACCTTACAAAAGTCTGTGATAAAAACTATCCTATGTTCTTTCTCAAGGTCAACTCTGTATGTGTACCAAATTTCATTAAAATCAGTTCATTGGTTTAGGCGTGAAAGCGTAACAGACAGATAGACAGACAGAGTTACTTTCGCATTTATAATATTAGTAGGGATTAAATATATACAATTGTTTCGTGGTTGACATGCATTATGTCAATGAAAATCTATACAAGCGTTTACTTGTGAAGTTCCTACAATATTATTCAGATCAAACAGTTAAGTGACTGCAATTAAAATCAAAATCCTCATTTCTTTTTTTAAGGATTCCCCGAGTTCCTTAAACTCTGAAGCAGTAAACTCCAACGACTCATGGATGAAGAGATACGTCCATAACTAAAAAACATTAGAAGCTGGTTATTTAATTAAAATTAAACGATTATTATCATAACACGAACATATAAGCGACCCATCACATATTAACTCGGTAGATACAAATATCTCATATCTTCTTTAATTCCATTAATTCCGCGATCTTCAATCCAATATTCCGATCTTATATACTTAACATTAAATATATAATTTACACGCTCTAATAGTAATTTAATTTTGTGATAATCGTCTCAGATGTTCAAATAACCACAAATATTCTTGAACGTCCTAACCCGTGGTATATTTACGCGCGGGTCGGCTACATTGTATGTTGTTTATTAATCACATTTGCTTACATACAGCCTGATTTAGTCTGATGCCCGCTGGTACCCGCCTGCCAGCCCAGCCTTAGTAGCCGATGGAAATTACAAGCTTGTTTATTTGACAGAATTTTAGTGGATACCGCGTTATCTTAATGCGACCGTAATGACCTCTTGCGATTTCTTTCATATAAAATTTCGTAGTAATCAAAAACAAAAATTATATATAAGTATCGAAATTTGGGAATGTATTTTGAGTGTTTTTAATTAATTAAATATATATCAATGTCATATATATCGAAGGTTAAATCTGTATGTTTCGTTTGATCCATAATGTTAATATAGAGTACAATGAACATAATGTTAATATAGAGTACAATCTAGTAGCGGATATATAATGACATGTTATCCGTCTGTCTGTCTTCTCCAGACCTCACATAGCGTTCCCTCAGGATCGCGGTACAATGATTGCAGACGCTCGTTATAATGAAATTGTTCCGTTATCACAATATTCTCATGACATCACCGTCTTAGAGCTATAGAAAGTTAAACAGAAAACTAATTAAATTTAATTATATCTCAAAAAAAGCTTAATATTTTTTTGCAAATTTCATATCCAAGTGTATTACCAAAGCACTCGTTATTTCAGTATCGCACGCCATTAAAACTAATCGATGCCAGAATGAGAATAGATCCCGTGTATTAGAGTCTGTCCGTGGAGATGTTCTCATGCTAATTAGAACATTAAATTTCCCATCATTACCCACTTGATCGTGTAACTGTTCGTTGGAAAAACGTTCGTGTACAGTAAGCGGAGCAAGAAAAATATATATAGCTAGCAATCAATTAAAACTGTTCGAATTTAAGATATAAATGAGATCTTTATTGTATTATATTTAATTGGGTTCATTAATTTTTATATATCAAACGGTAACATACGTGAGAAATAGTAATTATGTCAGTAACCAAATATGTGTTGATCACGACAGCTATAATCATCAATGTTTGTAAAAAAAACCGCGAACTTACATTAGGTACAATGTTGCAGCGCGAAAGGCTCGAAATATTGCGAATTAAAAAAAAAATTCATTTAACATTTTTATTAACACAAAAATTTTATAAATACTAATCGAAAGGATCGAATTCCAAAATACCGCCTCAACATTAAATTCCGTTCGCAAAATTCAAAACACTGTCACGATTGCATTTGAAATAACGATACTAGCGGTTGACTCACCGGCGTCGAATGCGCTACGTTTTCCCGCGTAAAGTCCTTATTCGCAAGTTTACGTTTGCATCTGCTGTTTATAAATCGGACTCTATTACCATGCCTTAGGATTTAGTTTGGTGTTACAATCTGGAACTAGATGAAAAGCCACTTGTAGTCTGTATAAATAGTGCAACAGCTCGTTCCGCGAACCGGCTGCGTTCATTTTCCTCTTCGTAGGAATGCGACTTGACGTCACTGCTAACCTACCTATTTAAACACACCCGCCGCCCGTTACGAACCCTAAAGGTCGTACTACGTTTCAATTTGTCGTGTAATCATCCCGTGGATAACCGGCGGAATTGAAATGTAATGACGCTATTTAAAATTAACGTTCCACCGGCCGGCCTCTTTAAACGGTCGGTTTGGTTCGAGTGTCTGCAGGATAACGGTACTGTTTTGAGCGTTGATAGGGAACGTTCTTATCTTATTTGCATTATATTTGTCGAGAATGAGCTATTTCATTGTTGTACCTGGAATCCAGTCAAGGTGTGTAATTAAGTATTCCACGATACTGAGCCTTTAACGTAAGCGTCGTACGTAGAACTCATCTGTGATGTTATTTATATTAATAGTATGTCACAATAGGAATGTTTCAAGTCTTAAGTTGTTCATAATTTAAAAATAGAAAACTATATTTCATAGTTCCGTAGAAAGCGATTCATTTATTGACAGCCGGCATTCTGTTGGACAATGTATGTGAAATGACAGAACGGGATTTTAGAAAATGACCAAATCATTTGTGCTGTAAGTGAGTGTCGTAAGAAAACAACTGGCCAATAATTACCGGCGTATGGAGACAATTAGTTTTGAAACAGGCCGTTCGTTATTCGAGCGAGTGTAGAGTGTCCATCCATTGTCGCATGCGACTTATGTCGACCGCTTCTAAAACAGTAATCTGGTCGCGCGGAATACATTTTCTCATTTTATATATCCGTTACGAAATGCATTATTCTTTTATGTTCTTTGTTCTATTTTAATGGAGACTATATTTTCGGATGTAGCTCGAGTATTTCGGTCTGCGCTTTGGATAATTTAAACCGACGTTTCTATTACGAAGACGTAAAATATGAAAGGATAAATGAGTTGTGTTTACGTGTGAAAATGTTACAGGGAAGGTTGGGAACTGTTTACAGATAAACTAACAATATATGAAATATTCCTCGGTTAAATTTAACTTTATAAGTAATTTGATATTTTAATTTCAGCATTAAAATTGTTTTATATACATATTTACATTTATTTGTATAAGGATGTGACGATTTAATAAAAATATTATATTTTTTAAATTTTCAATCAACCACAGTCTATAAATATATATACATAGTTATGATAAAAATAATGACTTATTACAGATCTACTTTCTTAAGATATTTTATGTTGTCTGTACTCCTAGTTCCTACCACAGGTTTTATAGTCGAATTAAATACAGCACTTAAGTTTCTAACACATATTCACATGGTAGTATTAACGTATTTGAAAACCATGTAACTATCCGTATTTCGTTAGTTATAAAAACTTGTGACAAGAGTATAGTTAACTGTTGCCTGTGTATATTACTTTTTAAATGTCTTATATATTTTTTTTATATTATAACCCATAGATCTCTTGAAGAATTAAAATATGTAAAAACCTCTAAATATTTTGTATTTTATTTTCTTTCTTATTAGATCCGTGTAAGGTTCATTTATAATGTCGATGATTATTTAAAAAAAATAAAAATACCTAGAATTTATTTCTATTTCATCAATCTTTTAAGTAATATTAAAGTTATTCAAATGTTACTATTTAAAATGGACAAAATTATTTGCATGTTACTATAAATATATTGTTAAAGTAAATGGAAACTAGGTACTTTTATATCTAACTAGTTTTTGCCCGCGACTTCGTCCACGATAGTTTGGTCAAGAGTGATATATGTAGGTATAGCTGACCAGGCGAACTCTATTCCGTCTTAGAGGCCATAAATAATCAGGTTTTTCCTGTTTCAATCAAACAGAATGATTGACATATTAGTTAGTTGTCAAATCTAATGTCAAAAAAAAAACGTTTATATGGGAAATAGAAAAGGGCTGTTTTTAGGGTTTTCCCGGCAATTATTCCAATTTTTCTCACCTTTTAAACCTTCCCTGGACTTTCAGGAGTATTTCAAGACTAAAATTAGCCAAATCGGTTCAGCCGTTCTCGAGTTTTAGCGAGACTAAGGAACAGCAATCCATTTTTATATATACATATGTAGAAGATTACTTCTAAGCTAATTTAAATTGAGATCCTCTGAGAAGAGAAGCTACAAAAGTAATAATTCAAATCTATTCACAAATGGTATGGATTTCTGTTTAAGGTAATTTATTTTTAACACTACTTCAACAGAAGTTATTTTTTTTTCGCGATATCGTAATCGTATAAAAGCAGGTTCATTTGTATTAAATATATCATAATATCAAACGCATGGCTAATCGAATGTTCCTAAATGACTGACGTCGGGCACAGTGCGGGTATGAAATGAATTGTTACCATCAAAACCTGTTCAGCAATCGCGAAATGTGTGGGAACACGGAGCCACGATAAAATAAACCATAAACAAAAGAATGCCATTTGGTTTCATTCATCGGATAGACCAGACCGCGTCACTCTGTGCGCCTGAGCCTGTACATTATATTACTCAGTTTTTCTCTTGATAGAACACTTATTGATGTCATAAAACTTATGGAATTCGATTTGTATGGAAACTATCGAACAAATATATTATTATATAAGAAGTATTTAATATATTAATATTTGTGTCCACTCGTGTTATAAATGGTTTTATTATTAAACATAACACTTCAAAGTCCGCTTATTATTTCGCTGTAACTTGTAAACGGGAGCGCACCTTTTTCTGTGAAGTATTCGCGTTTGCACAGAATGTGCATTTGTTAAAATGCACAAAAATGCGCGGGCGCATGAAATTATCAAGACAAGTGAGTTCGGTCGTTCAACTCAGGTTGAGTAATAACTTGTTACCTAAGCATATATATATTTTCTCTTATCATTCTGAAATAACCTTATAAGGAAATCTGTATTTATTAGTTATCTTTAAAGCTTTTCAATTAGTTATGAATTTTAATGATTTGCCACTTTGTCTGCTCCGACAGAAATATTAATTAATGAATTTGTATAATATTTTAATAATAATATATATTTTAGAGTAAAACGTAAAAATAATTTGTTTTTCCGTACGTAATCGTGCCAGTGTTACAGGAAGACTGTGGTTAATATCGCCAAGCCTTCATTGTACACATTTTGACTGATTACAGACCAATTACTATTAATTAATAATGTGATCCATGTTTTTAAAATAATTCAATATTTGTTTTGTAATAAATTATCCTGTTGTTACAAAATTTTGTTGTATCAAGACTTTTTGATAGATATTATCTTGTGTACCTACTGCCGATGAAAATATCATAATTGAACATTCTATTACATTTAGGTATGTAACTTTATAATATACACAATATATATTTTAACATTATTTGTCAAATTCTCAGTAGGTACTTACACTTCGTGTAAGTTCGATCTGCGGCCGGAAAACAATATCTTTAAGTCTAATTATACGAGAAATTTGTTTGGATTTTTTGTTACATATTATAAATGTCCAATAAAATCAAGTAGTCTTTAAATTTATCAAATCTTTCAAAATACAAATTATTATAGGTTCATTACTTCGCTTTACTCTAAGATGGCAGTCGCAAAATCTTATCATTATTTCAAAAATTAATAATTTCATAGTGCTATTGAATATTATTAACATATATGTATGTCAGTATTATATTCGCTTATCAAGCATTGTTTCCCAACACCGAAGCCTCCCCGTCGCCGCTACCCTACACCAAGGCTCATATTGTGCTTCAACAGCGAATTCCACCATCGTCACAATTTTTACTTCGATTAATTTATATTCGCATCATATATACAACTAATCGATATACAATTTTAGTTTTATTAACATAAAGTTCATTTTAAGTTGATTGACTTGTGATATTAGCTATTGTCATACAAATATTTTGCTTAAATACTTAGTAATAAAATATTTTTAACCTCTTTTGAAATAAACCTTGATGTATCATTTAATCGGTCAATTCATTATAAATAATCAAATATATATAATTTATATATAATAATATCGAAAGTAATTCTGTATGTCTGTTTACGTCAACCGGTAAACCTTGAGGGATTCTTAACCAAGGACATTAGTTATTTTTTGGTGTGATTTCATAATATCCTTATAAAAACAGTTTAATATTTTCTATATTTTCCAAACATTTAATAAACACATAAGTGCTGTATGCTTACTCAAGTTTTGCATCGTCAAACTACATACCTACCAAAAGTTTCCCGTTTCACTTTCTAGTCAAAACGTAGATAAAGTTAATACTAATTAACGAAGTTATATAAAATGAAAACTGCGAACGCTCTGTATATTATGCAGCGTGAATAATTTTAATAATCGTATATTGAAAATAAAAATATCATATTATTATAAGTATCTGGAAATTACGGAAACGACAGTGAATAAAAATAGAATTACGGTTAAAATTAATATTCTTAGTTAATCCGCATTCCGATTACAGGAAAAGTGAATTCTTTGAATTGTTCGCTGGTTGGAGTGTTAATTAATACGGAAAACCCCGGAAAATATAGACGCAGATAAATAAATATATATTATTATAATAATATCATTGAGAAAATTAGTTTTCTATTTCTTATCTCGAAGATTATTAACAATTGCTTTGACACGTTACAAACTATGTTAGTTAGTCGATGTTTCTATAGTAGTGGTTGAGACACCCAACTTGTAATCCGTTCAGTAATAACTGTTTTAGCTCCAGACTTCACATCACCACCAGCTGCCCTTGACTTGTTCAATGAATTATCCATCATTGAAGGTGTGTCTTCCAAGAAACTAACTTCAAATATCAAATGTATATATGTCTTATTAATATTTACGTTGTTCAAACTAAGAATATTGTACTGGTTATGTTGATATTTTATTTATTTTAGTAAAAAAACGCTGTTTTTTTTTCAAACCAATTCATTCAGAACTAATTTTTGATGAAGACTATAAATGATGTTTTTTTTATTGGACATAATATACGTCACTTAACACACTTATTCTCAGTTCACCCTCTATAATGAAATCCAAATATAAATAATATAAAAAGCTGAACTCCCACAATTTATCATTCGCTAACAAAAGGCACAAGAGCGGATTCCGTCTGGAGGTCAGTGGAACTGGTTCGCGGTCCTTTATCCCTGACCTACCGTGAGTTATGGGGCCCCCACGGTTTCCGTGTTAATATATGCTTGCCGTTCTTATACAAGCTTCAAAATATTTCTGTTTTATTAACGAATCCTTCGAACAGAACCGTAGTATAACACATGAGAGAAACCCACGTACGAATCTCGACCCGTCTCATGGGAATTTCGCATTTTTAGCTAATCTAGGAACCTTGGCATTTCACTTTTGCTATAAGTGTATAGATACTTGAGTAATCTGCACATTAAGATGAGTGTTGGTGTTCTTCTTGCAGCGTCACACACACAATATTATCGTGTATAAATAACAGGCAGGTCCCACTTGTATCACGGTGTATGTAAAACGTGTGATTGTGCTAAGTTTTTATTCCCATCGTGATAACGTCAGATATATTCGTCAGTCGATAGTGTGATTCTCATAGCGCAGCCGAGTCGAGCCAGCAGGAAGGCTGCGGTTCACTATCGGTTATACTTCCGACCGATAGTTTAACCGTTTCACTAATTGCTCGGTCAATTACTCTGTACGGTTATATATTTTTTTGTAGAACAATGGAATTGAATGTTTTGCGTCATCATTAAGCAACATAGTTGCTAATTGTAATTACATATGTTACCCTTCAGTCCGGCGGGGGACGCGATAATGAGCTCTACGGGAACGGATTTAGAGCATAGAGTGGACGAACGGGAACGATAAGTTCAAACAGAATGCTTGCACTGAATAAGTATGTTGGAAGTATTTATGTTGTTTGCAAAAAATCATAGCAAAAAAATTGGAGCTTGGTCGTCATGTATGTATGTACGTCAGGTGAGGTTTATGAGTTTGGCCAACTCCGTGACTCTGTAAAGATAAATTAATCTTATGAACTATGTTGCATTATCAATTATAGAAAAGTGTTATTAACAGTATTTATGTACCTATCGAAATATCGATTTTATAAAACGTATATGTATTTCATGATTATATATAAGAAGGCAACGTTTTGTTTTCTTTTTTTGTATTAATACCTATATATTTAATGTCAAAAGCAGCTATAATTGAATGTAAAAATTAGTTGAGGTTTAGAAGGGGCAGATTTCATGACGTTTTCAATATCCACAAGTATAACTGTAGTATCAGCCGGTGGGCGTTCATTTACATCGATGACGTCGTTGGCCTACGTTTGCAATTTCTATCTACAGCCTACGTACACAGAGAGAGCGGGGGCGGGAACGGGAGCGTTTTATATTAACCCGCCTCCGCCTCTGACGAGAGCCTTATCGTCTTTTGGTTAATGTGTAGGATTCAGTGTACAGATATCTATATTGAATCAGACATTTATAGTTATCGCGTCAATCATAATAAATTTATTACATAATATTTAATGAAACCGTAAATATGGGTGTCAATTATTGCTAAATTAACCAAAAAATTGGACTCTAAAGTTGACCTACCCCTTATCTCAACTAGGTATACTCGCGTCGCGACATCTCCGTGTAAATGTAATAAATATTTAATAATATCAGTGAGTAATCTAAGCGAGTGAATCAAATCGCCCCGAGCCTTCAGTCGTGTTGAAAACCAAGTCGATGAATTTAAAATATTTTATGCTATTTTGTTAACGAACGCTCCGCGATCCGCCGCCTCGGGTTTCGAGGCCGGAAATCGTTAAATTGCTGTTATTGTATTCCAGGAATTTGAAAAAAAATATGTTCCCTCCTTATTTATATTGTAAGACGAATTATTTCATAATAATCGGATTTATTACTGCTCAATATTTAAGATTAGATGTTTAATATATATTAAACTGTGAGATATTTGGTCTCCGTTGTTATGGCTCGTTGTCATCTCATTGTGTAACATAATAGCTCTGTCTCTGAATGTGAGACTCGATTGTGAGAAACGTTCGGAGTAGTTTTAGTGAATGACGCTATCACTGGAACCGAACCGGTCTTTAAGATTCGATAACAATTCTATAGTGGACTCGATTACGATGTCACACGAAAATATACCTTAAATAGTTATAATAGAGTGCTCTTAAGTTGTAACATACAATTGATACGTAGATACAACTTGTATTTTATTACGCGGCGCGTTGTTATAGTATAAATTAAATGGGGGCGATAACTGGATGGCCTTGGCAGATATCTGTTATCTGCGAAATTTTAAACAAAAGGTATGGTCTCACTGACAGCGGTCTATATGAAACTATTGATTTGAAAATAGTGTTTTTTGTTTTAACCCATAATTAAATTAATTGTATTTTTATAATTACTTTATTTATTCGTTGTCTAATGTCGAAATGTTTCTATAAACGTTTACCTCTAAAGTTCTTGGGATTTTTAAATAATAAAGTGAATGTTTAAAATAAGTTATGTTTTTATTTTTAGTTAATCGTTAATTGTGCTATTCTACGAATCTTCTCAATAGAATATAAAATTAAAATGTATGATGTTAATTTTAAAGTTGATGCGATATGTTACTACACTTATAAGGATAAAAAAGGATTTAAAGGCACAGTTCAAATTAAAATTCTTAAATATTTACAATAGTTCTATAATAAAAATCATATAAAATAAATTCTAAAAAAAATATTACTACTTATATGATGTAATACAAATATTCCGCGTCTCGATGTTTGACCCGCTATCACTCGGCTGCAACCTTATCTCATAGCAACAGATTTTCCGTCTACAATCATCAAAATGCGTACAATATTTTAACAAGACCGTCGAAAAATTTACACGTGATTGCAGGTTATCAATAGTTATTAAATATTAAAAGAATAATTTTAATAACCGCATATTTTATGCGTTTTATACATATTTATTATACATAATATTAACTTATTAAGAATCGGTACAGTATAATATGCTTGTACAAAGTTAACTCAATTACAAGGGTTCGATAAAATATTTGTGTTTCATTGTACCGGGTGAATGTAGTCGGAACTCGGAGGTCAAGTCGGTTAGATACAAAGGGTAATTATTAGGTCAGTGGGTATGCTAGCGAACATCCTTGAAGTATTTCAACCACCCATTCCCTCGTTTTGTCTTCGAGTCTGATTACCTTACTGTTTAGGTACCTGCTCCCAATATATTTAGTCTATACTTATATTCATTGATTACAATTTAAATATTACTCAATATTGCGTTTTATTTCGTCATCCACTATCGAAACTTTACGTAGTTTTAAATATTTTTGAATATTCCCTTAAAGTTATCATGTAATTTAAAATTTAGATCAGATTATATATTTTTGTATAATATAGTCACTTGTCCCAATTTATAATTGAGATTTAAAAGCGAACGATCATATGTTTACGAAGTGATCCATATCAGCTTATAAAAAAGCCGTCTCCTCTCACAAAAAACACGCGGTCATAGGTCAGGTGAGTTGGTTGTTAGTTTCAATCGACCGAAATAAATATCGCTCAGCTTCGTTGAACAATATGAACGTATGTCGTCTTTTTAATTTGTCAGTTTATAGATAAAATGCGTATCTTTAATGGGAGCAAAGTTCAGTTTGAAACGTCCGTGGTCCTACCTCAATAGGTCCTCAATAACATTTAGGGGTGAAGTTTTTGCGCAACACAATATATATAGTTTTTGTTATAAACTAATTTATATACTTTGAATATTAAATAGCACTGTTTCAACATATACACGCGTCCCTGGAATCGTCTACAGAAAATAATTAATTCTTCATAGATTATATGTATATATCAAAAAACATTTGATTATCAATTGATTAGGAAATTTTATTTAATTGAAACCTTTAACAAAATAAGATCCTATCTCATCAATAATCATAATATTTTATATATATGTAATGTATATTAATTATATGTTATTATAAACATAATAGTAAATTGTATGTTAATAAAGTACTATCCATAGCGAATTCTGGCCCCCTGCCCTCACCACCGTACTGACAATTGATATTCTAATTGCTTACAATGTAATTGTAATGATCAAAGGTGAAGTTATTGCACAACCATTTATAAATGATATATAAAATAATATATACAAGACGAGCCAACACGTGTGTATCTGTACTGTAGTATTGAATACGGACACAATCACGGTAAGAGCACTTCATTCATAAACTTACATTCATATATAAATAAGAATTTTATACTTAATTCCGATTCTTTAATATGCTTCACTAATGTACATAATGAAAAGCGTCTCTAATAATAAATTCTTATAATCATTTATAAACAATAAATCGTCAGGATCGCCTTATTGGCAAACACAATAAAACGTGTATTTTTAATGGATATCCAAATATTCCGTTATCAATATTGAATAGTTCGACCAGAACCAGTTCGCGATGGATCAAGGATTCTAGAACAGAGACTTATAATGAATTAATTTAACAATTCGGGTTTTGTAACGGATTGGCGGAGTGTCGTATCATCTTATATATTAATATTAAATAATATTATATACATATGTTCTAAAAGTGTTTAGACATCACTGATTAATGCATTCCCGAAGAGGGTTGATGTCAGGCAGGCGGCCGGTCGTAAAAACAAATAGCCAAAACTATTCACAACATGTAAGGCAGACCCTGGCTAAAGCTGGGAAATTGCCAGGTAGAAGAAGATGTTCCTGCAAATACATATTATTAATAGCAAAGCCATATAGTTATACTTGAATTAAATTTCAAATAGGATAGAATGAAAAACTCATTGACTTGAGCTGGCAACGAACCTGCTACCTCAGCTGAAGTTGCATTCATATTAAACATTTATTATATAACATTTTCCTTTTATGATACAAATGTATGACAACGGCTCGGTCTTGCAAGGTGACACATTTGTTCTTCTCACTCGGAAGTCACTTCTTGTCACTTCTGACCCAAGATATTATATCGCAACCTTTTCTTAAATTATTGAGTTCATTTACGTAAGTGATAAAGTTTTTTTTCGCGAACTCAATGGTCGTACACAATGATATAAAATTAGGCAATGCATTAATTTATTTCATTTAAATACGAATTGTTTACGTAATTTTTATATAATGGAATCGTTCAAGGATTGATCTTTGCATTATTTGAAATATATTAATATGTATTATGTAGGTAAATGAAAATTTTATCAAATGTAAGGGATATCGTGAATGAAGCGTAGGTATCAACAAATCTTGGACGAACATGTCCCAGATGTTCTCCAAACCTGAACAGATCTTCGTTAACCTAAATACATATTCGTCAGAAAAACCTCGTAGCAATGGATCGATTGAAGGGAGATTGGAGCGTGTCAAACATTCGTCTTAATTGTCCAACACCATACACTCTTCAAAGGTCTAAATCTTAATCCCTTTATCCGATGAATATTTAAACTGTGACGTCATTCAATCATAACTCCCCACCCTCCCTCCACTCCTTACATACATTTCATACATTTTACACCTATTAACATAATTGTAGCAATCGTTTTAACAAAATCAAATTTTAACTGAAAACGTATTGAACATAAGCAAGTAACTAAGTAATTTGCATGTTAAAAAACTTCAAAGAGACGCCAGTTCTATTTATTCTACATACATTTCTTAGTTCAAATATGAATTCAAACGTATCAAATAAAAAAGACATTTGACAAAGATTTTAGTATACGGCAGCTTAAAATAGAAAATAGCTTAAATCGGATAATATGTATCTACACGCTGACAGAAAAGATGTTATATTTATAAATACATAATAGTGTTCGTATGTTTGATGCTTAATGATAAACCCATTTGAAATATGTCTTAGAATAGATTTGACATTTTATAACTTTGAATTTAAGTCACAATACGATTTAGAACCCTAAGAGACATCGGTCTGTCTTAATCTAATATTAAAGTTATTCAAAAACTACAAAATTAAACTTACCTATACTTCTAAAGTTCCTTTTTGTTAATTTTCTTTGATAAATCTACAGATATACAAAGGATTGGATATAGTAACTGCCAAGGCATCTCCTCAAGAACGGGAGCTGGTCAAACATCATCTACTCGATATACTGGAACCTCATCAGAATTTCACGGTGGTGGACTTTAGAAGCAGAGCCCTTAATATTGTATCCTTTTATAAAATAACATAAGAAATTACTTGAAAAAGTTGTTACTACGTATACTTTTATTCCTACAAAGTTATTACATCTGAAGCATTAAAAGAGATATAAGTATGTCATTCATTAGTATTAACTACATACACAATAGTACAGTTATAATTATATAAAATAATCGCTTATCGTAAATACTTAATTGAATAAGCATTTCCACAACCAATATAATATATAACATGTTAATTCATAAAAGCCAGCAATCAAAATATAAAAGAAACATCGCTCTCAAAGTGTTTATGGGAGCTTTGATATAAATGTGAGGTAAGAACAGACAAAGTTGATAAAGAAGTTACATAAGACGAGGAAAGTCACGAGCGGGCTGGCGTTAATTTGTCAAACACGATTCGGTCTTTAGAATGTTTATTCAGCAGTACAGAAATACATCTCCAACGGAATGCGACACAGTCCCCTTGATAGAATTAATGCTACAGATATAAATTATAAAATATTTGTATATGATTCTTTACACAAATGGCTGTGACAAAAGAACGGAAAATTTATGTAGCGTTTGCTCAACCAGACCGTGTTTGGTGACGAGTTGAAAAAAATGTGCTTCATAGATTGTCTTAAAAGTTGCATTTAGTCCTTGTTAGTTAACTTGGTCCTTGTAGTGAAATACTCAGATGAAGTGCAAAGTCATTCACCACTAAGATTTAGAAGTCGTCATTTAAGTGAAGTGTGTTGTTGGTGACGCTGAATATTAAAATTATAATTATTACTAATTATATGAATTCAAACTAGAATTACACTTTTTGCACATCAAAGTTTTTTATGCATTGTCTTAAACTTGAAGATTTTAATTGAAACCATCCACGTTTGGACGTCTTTATCTACATTCATGTAAATTTAATTTGATACAAATGTAAATGGTGCATTGAACTCAGACTTTTTTACTATTCTAGCAAACTGAAGTAGACACAGAAAAAATATATACGTTTTGATTGCATTAATTCTGTTTTTGATGAAAAGAATTCGTTACTTAATATTTTTGAATTTAAAATACTCGAAGTCAAACTAGTCGGTGATAATTTATAGAGATTCGATTATTTAACATAATTAAGCGAGACGTCCGTGAGCGGTGCGTAATCTTTGGTTAATAATGAAGGACATAAAGTATAAACTAATTATGTCTCGTTACTGGGCCGCTACCAACATACGGACGCCTTAATATATTTATTACAGATAGGGATACGTCCTCGTTACATAAATCCGACAGGACCTTAACTCGTATAACAGATAGACAATTTAACCGAACAAGGTAAAATACCAATAGTTGTAGGAGGTACGAACTACTACATAGAATCCATTGTGTATAATATATTGGTCGAAGATATGAACGATCCGGAGGCTTTGCTGTGGGATAAAAGTAGGAGGAAAAGAAACTTCGCAGATGATATTGATGAAATGCCAATAAAAAAAGCCTCTCTTGATCCAAGTGATGAGGCTGAAGATGCTCTAGTAGCAGAATCTGATACTAAAGTCAATTCAGATGGGAAAAAGAATAGTAAGAGTATTGACGTTAGTAAATTAAAAGAAGATGTGGATAATGAGAGGAAGTTCACTAATGAAGAGATTCATGAGAGACTAAAAGCCGTCGACCCGGTGATGGCTTCGAGGTTACATCCGAATAATAGGCGTAAAGTATTAAGGTAAGCTTTATTTATGATAATGTTGATTTAAACTATGTTTTTACTTTCATTCATATGTATGTCCCTATCAAAAGATCTGACTAAACAAAAATTTGCATGAACCTAATTTCTTAACATTTCTCCTATGGGACTACTATACCCAGAAAATCCCTTTGTATTATAAAAGTACCCGAATACCTAAAACGATAATCATCAAATTGACCAAATACCTAAATGTCGTAATAGCAGCAAAAACTACATACAAAATAATCACAACATTCCTGTGATGAATGACGACGTAGTGATCACCTGATCTGATGATACCAGTTTATAAAGAGCTTCTCATACAAACTAAACATAGTTCGTGAATAAAACATGTCCGTTTTGATTTCTGTGTCCCAGGAATCGTTTTCGGCCGCGTTACGTAATGTTCTCTGAGAGCCCTCCGTTTCCTGTTCACGTGTATGAGAAAATGTTTTATCATCACTCGGATATTTATTTGATAAACTTTGATAAAATTCAATTTGCTTAATTTATCACGACACGGATTTCTGTCAGCGGACTGAATAAATACGGAACGATTCCTTGAATGGACCCAACGCTCGTATCTTGTTGTCTAGATGCAATTTATATTAATGTATGATTTGGAATAGGAATTGGCGAATCTATCGAGTAAAAGCCATAGGTCATAGTGGCGAATTACAGAAACTTTTAATACAATAAATTGTTCCGTAACGTAGTAACTTGTTCGACTGATTTACATAAACATCAAATTTGAAGGTCGTGTGACACGATGACATAAAACCGGCGACCAGTTACTGTGAGCCGCGTCTTCGGACGGCTGTTCGGTGTTAATGCTCGTGTAAGGCAATAAGGACGGTGGCGGCGGATCAAGTCGGGCTGGTCTAGGCACTTCCGCGGGTCGCCGACCGAAGCCAAGGATTTCGTAGTTGTCAGTGTGCGCCAACCTTGGCTTTACTATCGGACGGTAGGGTGACCCTCGTTCATATTTAATAAGGAATCGACCGTGTCTGAATACGTCACCGAGCATAGAACTTAATTGTTGGAAATTCACTTTGAAGATTAGAAATTCAAAACTCAGTACTCATTATGATGTAAATGTAATTATAAATGTACATCGATTTCATATACGTATCTTTATTGATAACATCTAGAACGGTTTTAATATTAACACAATAATAGTTATAAAAAAACTATTTCCATTAAAAACCAATAAAACTTGCTATATATATTTTTATCGCATTTAATACATTAGACTGTGCAGACCGAGTCTCAGTAATGACCATGTAACGGATGGTCACCATACATTATCGCTAACGCGGCCCCTTCGATAAACCCCGAATTATTTATCGTACTATTATAACTCAAACACAAATAAAACTTGTGTGTGTGTGTCTGTGTGCGTTTGTTTCCGTGTGTGTGTGTACGACGTCAGCGAGTTTTCCGTCGGTTTAATATAACTTGTTTGCAAAATAACTAATTTCTGTAAGAAGTCTACGATTTCGTCTCAGTGATATTTGAGACTTGATTCTTTTTATCGTATTAAATATAACATTTTCTACGTAACAATAATTTAGAATATGTATGACATACTTTATCAGATGTCTATAACTGAAATTTTAATTATCTTTTTATTTAATGGATATTCCCAAAAATGATTATTAATTATATGGAACTAACATGTGTATATATATTAGATATTATTTATGCACAAGTAAGTTATAATGATTCGTGTGACAAGTAAATTAAGGTTCATTTTTGATTTATGTATATTATATTTTATGTATATAAGACAAAACATTAAACCATTTTTACGTACATAGGTTGTACACGCGCGGAGTGTTCCGTGGCCATTACCATGCGAACATCATAATAAATCGCCAGTTAATAGCCATTGTTGGAGGATAAGGATAACACTAGCATTCCATCATTACAATCGCCTAGATTTCTAGAATAACTGGAATTATTAGACTTTATATTTTATTAATCGTCCATTATAATAAATTGTTTCATGGAACCGGATTTGATGATGAATATTTCGGTTCAGTTTTTATACTTGTGTTACTAATATTCTTCCCGAATATTTTATATCTCTTTTTTTCCATCAATAGCCACATCTCCATAGCCATCTCATGTATAACATAGCCGTTATATAATATTTATTAATATGGTAACAATACCCCTTAACAGTAATGGGATGTGTAATAAAATCTTCATTCGTATTTTTTTCTGATATCAAACAATTCTTATTTATATAAGCAATGAATAAATTATTTCATTATACCGCGTCTGTTACTGGGCTAGATGTTGGCGAATGGTTGGCACATGTTTTAGTGGAAGTTGGCCCATTGCGCTGTCAATTTATATTTCTTCTTCTTCTTTTATTGGTGATGGTTGGTCTAATTTTGCCCAAACGTTGGGCCAACCTGTTCCCCAAAATCTGTACTGACAAAGCTTGTTATTAAGTCACGGAGTCTGTTTCATCCCGCAGATTGTGAGATGTGGGTCAAGGACGAGGATGATGGCACTCTACATACAAAGGATATTTCATTATGAGGATGGTTTTTATGAAGAACGTGTCGCTGTGTGTGTTTGGGTGTCCTAGTATGGGTTTAATACGAATTCGTATATTTAATTATTATTTTTTTAATAGAAATGAAACATTTTTTTTAATACAAATGAAGTTTAGCTTGGGTAATGTTTTTTTAAATTATATATCGTATAACTTTGAGTATATTTCTTCGTTCATTTTCATATGTATTTCAAGTTAGTAACATTTTATTATTATTACATTATCTAATCTCAAGTACCCTTACCATGATTTCGTATTGTCAAACGAAACATAGTTTATAGTGTTCATGAATCTTCTTATATCATACTCTCAAAAAAACTCACTGGAATCCGACTGTATTCAATTCGAGGATGAGAAACCATGGTAGGGTGCTGTACATGAAAGCGAGCCAAGAGCTGAACACTCCAAAAACACGAACGACCGTCACAAGGAGGCTTTTGATGTTTTGTAAGAAATCGTCAGGGGGAGCATTATCTGGGCCGCGTGACGTCACGCTCGGTACATATTAAAATATTAAGAATTCACATGTTCCCATACACATACCATCACCTATATCATGTATCAGTGAGGTGTTCAATGGTCTAGGCTCTTCATTAAGCAGAGTACAGGCCACTCGAGTTTAATATAATTCGTATCTGTAAGTCATCTCCGTCTAACTTGTGTGGTGCTCCGTATCATAGTTACCGTCTCGATAGCGCCTGACTCATAAATACGAAGCCGGAAACGTCCCACAAACTTGTAATTTTAGGCAATTTCAAGTTCTCTTCAAAGGAAAATTAATTATCTGTAGTATATTTTTATTAATGAACCAATTTATATACCGACAGGGCGTCCTCCTCGCTCAATGATAATATTATTTTGAATAAAACTTATCAATTGGAACAGAAAACTACGAAATATATTTATATAAGTTCAGCGCTAAATGTAAATAACTATACGGTCATATGTAAATATGTTCATTAAAGATTTTGATTATGTTTTTTTCGTTTTTACATGAATGTATTAATGTTTTTTTTTATTTACATAAACTAACTTTAATAAAATTGTCAAAGTTATCGTATAACATTTAAAATTATATGATAATAAATATTTATTTATCACTATATATATATTTTCCATCAGTATTTAATTCGTTTTCCATCCCATACGATAGGGTAACAATAGACTACACGCATACGACACGTCACCCCGACGACAAATCGTTTTATCGAATATGCTAAACAGTTTGAGAGCATAGACGGTAAGGAATGAAAATAAATATTTAATAACGGCGCCCTCCCTTCAGTAAATATTGTAAGCTGGAGGCAAATACTCGACCGGCTAATAAAACTGAGACTATTGTTTTGATGACGCGTATTTGATAGACGAAACATTCGTTATACATTCATCACACATCGAATACATTTTTCATTAAAATATAAAACGGCTGTTAAATATTTAAATATATTTTTTATAGTCTGAACCAAATAATACTGGTAAAAATATCGTCATATCTGGACTATAGTGGAAAGGTTTTAATTTTACATATTTATTTAATAAATTTAACGAAGCATAACACAGGTAGTCTTATAGGAAGGTAGTTTGTGGATAGAATATAATATTAACAATAGAGAAATCAAATGAGCTACGAAAAATATGTTACGCGAAGATAAGAAGGCTTAAAAATTTTTTTCGAGAATTTCCTTGTGATATATTCCAACTATACAAAGTAATTAAATGAAATTTAAATATGATCCATGAAACAAAAATATAACAATCACGATACCTTCGTCGCCTTAAAAAAACTATTTAAAATTTTATACAGATACCATTCTTCGAAAGTAATTTGACTTTGTCATAATGTTGTAAACCACTTCATAAACTACTCAATAGACAAACAAGTTACATTCAATGAACAGAAGTGACGCGTCGTCCGAGATATCATTTAATAATAAATTTATTATGCGACATGTACGTGTGTGTTGCATTTCGTGAGACGAGTGCATCGCACTTATAAAAACACGACTCGTAAACAATGAGACTCGGAGGCGAGTTGGTGGACGCCTGTCATAGTAGAGGGTGCGTACGCGCACTGACGCCTCGCTGACGTCACATCCACCATTCATACAACCCATTCATAACACCGGCGGCTACAGCACAAACGAATAGACGCCCTATTATATATAAAATACGGTCGAATTCACATCGCAAGGATTTCGCAATCAATTAACCTTTTTTTTATATGAGAGAATCTTGAATAGTAATCGTGTAAATGGATACATCATGTCCCTTGAGAGCCGCTGGATATGTTTATTTAAATTATTTTCGTATTTTGATAAATTATTGTTGGCATGTGATACACATGTTATATTATATTGACTTTTAACCCGGATAAACGTGAATCGGGGACCTTGGTGGTTTAAATTTAATCATTCAGTATTAAACAATCAAAAAGTTTTCGTTTTCATTTATAACATAACGAAATTACGTTATTCAAAACATTGTTTGTATAAGGAGACACGAAACAATGTCAAGTCGCCGCGTGTATCAGAATGGCGCCTAATTCAATATTATTTCGCAAGTGACAAGTCACATTGACCTTGCCGCCACTCACCGATATTCGGGTGCGATAAAGCGGTCAGGGGGTCACCGCAGATTAGCCTGACATAGATAGCGGGTGGGATTCTGTATAATTGGGACAAATTATATGGATACAATCCGTACAATAAAATAACTATAGGCGGTATAGGGAGCGTTGTGATCGTGAAGCGATTTAAGCGTATTAAATCGCTTTATGCATAGCATACAGTATTATAAAGGTGGTTTTCCTCAGCTATTGTTCAAAGTTTATCTTCGTTCGCAAACAACTGAAATTATCGCTTTATCTTAACACTAAGAGCTATTCGATGTTCGTCTGAACGAGTATTCGTTCCGAGTCTCGACTAACATGTGATGCTGCTATTTTATATTTATTTTGAATCCCCCAACACTAGGATCAGCGTTCGGGTTCGTCCGCCTGCTAGTCGAATATTAATACCGATATAAAATATATTATCTTGAACATTACTAGTCTACTTTGTAGGATGCATTTCTGAAATAAGTAGAACCGTAATTTTAAAATTTAACACTAGTTGATTTCTACGGCTTCGCTTGAAAATGGATATATTAGACGAGGACAAAAACTACCGCATAGAAATTCTCAGTGTCTGTTTGTAGTTCCCATATACATACAAATTCAAAGTTATTCTGAATGAAATTCTACCGAATATCTGTATAATAATTAATTTAAATAAACAAAATCTATATTTTATTGTTTAAACCCTTCTTCGAAACCAATCGACAGATTTTCTAAGTGTTGTCCAACAAAATTTTTGAGTTACTCGTAGTTGGATAAGCTAAATTTTTCGTTAATCTTAAATATTTAAATAAAAAGTATTCTTATTATGAACTATTAAATAATATTTGTTTCTTAAAATTCC